AGTTTGAACTTTCTGAAAAAATTAGGTTTTTAATTGGTACCAGCAAAATTCTCATTCATCTTTGATTTATAGTTTATGAAATTTATATAGTTAGACTCATGGTGAAATTTCAAGCAAGTTTCATGTTTACATTTTCTGATTTGGTTGAGGAATGAGGAAGTTCCAAAAATAAAAAATGGTGATGTTGTTACTGCGCGCACGAAGGGGGAAGAAGACGAAGTTCAAAACTCAGAAACGAGTTTATTTTATATTTAGTTGAAGTTGTATTATTAACGAATGAAACAGCCACCCCAGTAGCAGAGAAGTGCACGCTAAGGCATTTGTTACTAGGGACCTGGGTTCGAGCCCCAGTGATACCCTTTTGTTTTTTTCACATTATTTCCTTGCAAATCCAGTATGAACCACCCAATGCGCATGATATACACCTTCATTCCTTTACCACATGATTGTCATAAATTCAGATCAAGTGCTCCAGATGGGCAAGCGCATGGCACATTGCAAAAAGCCAGCAATACTGAATCAGTACAGGCACTGGGCTCCTCCGTTTTGGGCCTTTTTCTTTTTTATTTTTGCTATTTCCTCACCCCCTAAATTACTTTCCAGCGCAGGCCCAACATGATTTTTGTACATACATTTTCATTTCTTCTTCTGATTTCAAAAAGGTCTCATTAGGGCCCAATGTTTTATTTTTTCTTTTTGACCCCCATTTTACTTTTTAACACCCTGGCCCAACTATTTTTTATACTATTTATATTTTATTTATTTATTTATTTTTATTTAATCAAAAATACAAATATATATATATATATATATATATATATATATATATATATATATATATATATATATATATATATATATATATATATATATATATATATATATATATATATATATATATATATATATATATATATATATATATTCGTAAATAATTAAATTAGAAATATTTTAATTTAAACACTCTACTTTATTTTTGTTAATTAAAATAAATTTTTATTATTTCTTTTACATTATAAAATATTTTTCTTTATTAACATTGACACCTAAATCATTTTCTAAACAAATAAATTAGACTTAGGTTTTATTTTAATTAACTTAGATTTTTTAAATTTTTATTTAAAATATTATTTAATCTCTCTTGTAATTAAAATTAATTAGTTTAATTATAAAATCTCTTCTATCAAAAACCATAAAAACAACTTCTTTTTTATCTTTACATTTTGTGCATTCTATTATTATTCATGTTCAATGATTTGTAATAGATAATTAGGACTTTATTGCTTTCCTCCCCTCATTCCCAAAGCGTTGTAATAGTGTAGGACATTTAAATTATGCAATTTATCGTTTTCCTTATTATTGTTAGTAATTAGATTTTGTATGACAAGACTTAAAACCAAACATAGCAAAACCCTAATTCAAAGATAAAATATTTGAAATTAATATACTTTGCACACATGCACCTCTAGGGTAACCCACACTTGTTGTCTCGGATATAAACAGTCATGTCCCTCGAACGTGGGATGTTTTAGCAAAGACCCTCGATTAAAAGATCGTAGTCCCTCGATGACCCTTCAATGTTGCCTTCAATAAATGATCTTAGTCCCTTATGACAATTTCTAAAACATCTTACAGGTTGCCTTCTATGACTGTGCGATGACCCACGCATGTCCCTCACATCCAATGATATGGCTCCTTACCAACCAATGGTAAAATGGCACTATCTAAAGGAGGAGAAAAAGAACATAGATTTTTGAGTAGGTAGATTGTTCGTAATTGCTTGCTCACAAACTAAAACCATTTTCAAACCTCACACTTTCAAAAATAAACATCTTTTCAAAAACTCTCTATTCAAACAAATATTTTCAAAACAAACACTTTGTATGCGTTCTCAACGTTACGAGAATCATTACAAAGTTTGCCGCACTAAGGCGTTTTCAAAATATTTCCAAACAAATATTTGGTGTACATTCTCAACGATACGAGAATCATTGCAAAATCACCATTTTCAAAATATCTTCAAAACATTTCCCAACTTACACAAAACACAAAGCATTTCAAAGTGAGCTAGCAATTAAGAGCCCGTAGACAACTACGGATGAAAAGAATGCTAACACCTTTCCTTTTCATAACCTACCCCTCCCCCCCCCCCCCCCGAACTCAAGAAAATTCTCAAAAGATCTTTTCTGTTCTTTTTCACCCTTTTCTTTATTGGATAAAAGAAAAGTCAGTGGCGGCTCTTGCTATCCATAACATTTGCGATCAAACGCAAAACACCAAGTCAGTTCTCCCACCGTATCACAACAAAGAAAAAGGAAAATGTCAAAATGGTGACACAACTTATTACGTCTTAATGAACGCGTATTTCAAGTATATCCGAGCTTTGTAAGTTACATGTTGGTTTCGGATAACATATGATCTCCCGTTTGGTGTGTCTGGTGCGTTTTTAATTGTGTCTTGTTTCTCCTTGCGAACTTGGTCGAAAATATGATTATATCCAATAGCTGATGCAGGGTCATTCTCATCTCACTCACCCAACTTTGGAACAAAAACACTTTTATCAGGTTGCCAGATCAAAGTAATAAAACAAAAAAAAAAATTAGAAATCACTTTTATCAGCACTTTGAGAAAATAAGAAGTATTACCATTTTCAGTAATGTAAATTAAGGGACTGTTATACTTATTTTTGACGTAGAACATCTATTGTCCAAATCCTCATGGATAAATGAATAACCAACTCGAAGCAGACTGCATAAAACTATAAACTAAGTTATCTTTATATTATATAAATAATCTCTTGGAAAACAAAAGCTACAAATGAAAAGCATTGATATAAATACCAAATATAAATGCCAAAACAAACCCACATCAAATTCCAACCTAATGATATTAGTAGTTCCACCGCACAAGTAAAATTTTGTAGTTTAAACTTAAATTAAAAGCAATCAAAATCAACTTAACTTACTCTATCCCATAGTTGTGGATCTGACTTCTTATGTACCTCTTAACTGAAAGAGGAGGGAACCCTAAAATATGCACAAATAAAATATCAATTAATATAAATACAAAATGAGAATAAAAGCACATATCTAACATCACAAACCTTGCAACATAGATTATTAAGTTTGCGAGGAAGAAGCTCAAATCGAAATAGAAAAAGATCGCAAAGTAGGATTAATAACAATGAAGAAGAAAAAGACTGTAACCCATAAATCCATTAGTGTAAAAAAATATCGCAAACCCATAAGTCCAACCATGTATTTCCTTCAACCAAACTCATAAATCTCGCTTATAACCCTAACCAACCTCCCATATTCATCATAGTTCCAAACCTTAACTCCACCTATCTTTATCTAAATCATCATGAAGATGAAGATATTATTGATGAAGATGAAGAGAAAGAGAAGTAGGAATTGATTTCCTAATTTGGAAAAGATGAAGACTGGAGAGAAAGAGAAAAAGGAAGCGTTTGTTTGAAAAATTATGAAGAAGGAAGAGAAAGAGAAAGAGACAGAGATGATGTAGAAGCAAAACAAAAGGGATGCTGTGAGGCCATCCACGTAACTGAGTTCTGAAGCAGCAGGGCAAAATAGTGTTTTCCAGAACATAAAATTTTCTTATATAATAAATTTAACACTATTGCATACCCAAGACCGAGTTAAATTTGAGAAATAGAAAACTTTATGTTAAAAAATAGGCAAAATATTATTTTTGGTCCTGTATGTTAACGTCAAGGTTTATTTTAGTCCCTTAACTTTAAAAAAGTTCATATTGATTCCTTAACTCTTCAAAACGCTCCATTTAAATCTTTTTTGTCTAATTAACGACAAATTTAGCGATCGATTTCTGAATTTTTTTATCGTTAATTAGACAAAAATAACTAAAATAAAGTGTTTTTAAAGAGTTAAAGAAATAATATAATTTTTTTTTAAATTAAGAGAAACAAAAAGGATATATTGCCTAAAAAATATAATTAAATTTTAAATAAAATGGATACACAATTTCCATAATAATATATCTATATTTGATTTTTTGATACATTTTTTTTTATCACACTAGCGGCTACTTTTTATCATGCTCTATTGCTTTTTTGTTTTCTTAATTCTTGTCTGGCTGGAGTTTGTCCAGTAAAATACATAGTACACTTTTGTTCTTTTGTTGTTACCCTCTCTCTTTCTCTTTCTCTTTCTTCTTACTTGCACTCTCACTCCAAATTTCTCTCCCCATTTTTTTCATTCCTCTACATCACTTCAACTTCCATTCCGTGTTTTTAACAACAAAAACGCACTCAAAAAACAAGTTACTGTTTTCACTTCACTTTAGTATAAATTGGTGAGTTTTTTTTCTTCTGTTATCAGTTTTCTCGTGCACGCACGTTACATAGTTTTCACAGAACGTGTTTCTTTTTTGGTCAACCATTTTTTCTGTCAATCTTTTGATCTGTCTTCTTATGTTCCTTAAACTCTGTTTTGTCTCTGTGTCTGCACCTTAATTCAAAGTATGTTTTTTTTTTTAATTTAAATAAAATTCTCTTATACCCTTTTTCAGTTGCTGAGAATTAAAGCTGAGTAGAATTAAAGAAAAGTGAAAGAAATTTTTTTTCTTATTTTCAATTGTGATTTCATTATTGGGTTGAACTTTTTTTTCTTTCTTTTCTTCCATTATTCTGATCTTGATTTTCCCTTCCTCTATACTCTTTAGCATTACATGAATAGAAAAACTAATCAAGTTTCAAGCTTTATACATTTCATTTTTGGATTTGGATTTTCTGGATCTTTCTTTGTAATTGTGTTCTTTTGTTGAATTTGACTTTTAGGTTAGTGATGTCATTGTACAATTTTGATTTTTTCAACCTCAAGTGTTGTAAACTCTTGAATGAGTTTGAAATTGACTTGTTCAAATTCAATGTTTTTTTTAACTTAAGTATTTTTTGCAGTTTTTGGCAGGTATGTAAATGGATTGGATGATGTGATGAACAAAGAATAGAAAAAGAAGGAGAGATGAAAGAGGAATCTACAGGGTTAATTATTGGGATTTCCATAGGTGTTGTGATTGGAGTTGTTTTGGCAATTTCTGCATTGATCTGTTTTAGATATCATAGGAAGAGATCACAGATAGGGAATAGTAGTTCTCGGAGGGCGGCTACGATACCGATTCGTGCTAATGGTGCTGATTCTTGTACTATTTTGTCAGATTCAACCTTAGCTCCTGAATCTCCTGTTAGGTCTGGAAGAAATGGCATGAATTTTTGGATTGATGGTTTCAAGAAGAGTAACATGGTTTCTGCATCTGGAATACTTGAATATTCATACAAGTATGGTTTTTTTGTCCATTTACATGCCTTGAAACTGAATTATGATTAGCTATCTATTTATTCTTAGAGTTTAATTTCGATTCGTTGTAAGTGTCGACAAATCACAGTCTTAAATTTACGGTGTATATGAATTAAGTTCTTATTCTTATTCGGAATATGAAGGTCTCGGGTAAGACTGATAAACCTATCGTCTAGATCGATGCCTCGTGCACACACTGAGCCGCCCTTTATGAAATGGTTCATTATAGCGCCATTAAGCATGTTGAAATAAGTATGATATTTTCTAGAATTTGGAGTCATGTATATTTGTCTTTCCATATTCAACCAAATCCGCCGATATATGTGCTTATGATAATTTGCAAATTATGGTGACAACTATTTCTTCTCGTTCGATTTTAACTTTGATATTTACATTTCAGGGACTTACAAAAGGCCACATATAATTTCACAACACTGATAGGACAAGGTGCATTTGGTCTTGTATATAAAGCTCAAATGTCTACCGGTGAGACTGTTGCGGTGAAAGTTCTTGCAACCAATTCTAAACAAGGGGAGAAAGAATTTCACACCGAGGTAAAGATGTTTACCGATAATCATTTAGCATAAAATACTTTTTTAGAGTAGGGTAGTTTGATGAAACTTAACTTTTTGTTAGGTTATGTTGTTGGGAAGATTACACCATAGAAACTTGGTGAATTTGGTTGGATATTGTGCAGAAAAGGGTCAACATATGCTTGTTTATGTCTACATGAGTAAAGGCAACTTGGCTTCCCACTTGTACAGTAAGTTAGTTACCTATCTTTTTTGGTTTGCAAACTACGAACTATAAATTCTTCCCTCAGAACGATCCTTAAACCTTCGCTTCAAGTTTTTTCGAAAAGAAAAATTGTGAATTTGGTTCTTTCATGCATTGACTCTGACTATTGCCGTATGCAAATTCTATATGAATATGCGAAGGCTTTAGAAGTTTTGCAATGATAAATGAAGCAAATAAACTTGTCTTTATATTTAGGTGAAGAGAATGGGAATCTGGGCTGGGATTTGAGGGTTCATATAGCTTTAGATGTAGCAAGAGGCCTGGAGTATCTTCACGATGGGGTAAGTTACCGTGTGGTATGTGCTCGCTAAGATAATCCTGCATTGTATATTTAGTAACAATTGTATTTGTTATTGTCACTCCAGGCCGTTCCTCCTGTCATCCATCGCGACATCAAATCTAACAATATTCTCTTGGATCAGTCCATGCGAGCCCGGGTACGTCCGTGTTGATCTTCGCTGTATTTGGATTGACTTATTTTAATCTATCAGCCAACATAATTAAGGCTGTTTGGAAGAACATATGAAAATAGCTTATGATTTGAATCAAATAGGTTGCTGATTTTGGACTTTCACGAGAAGAGATGGTGGATAAACATGCAGCTATTCGCGGTACCTTTGGCTATCTTGATCCCGAGTATATATCTTCAGGGACATTCACGAAGAAAAGTGATGTATACAGTTTCGGAGTGTTGCTCTTTGAACTCATAGCCGGACGAAACCCTCAGCAGGGTCTTATGGAATATGTTGAACTTGTAAGATCTCTCTCCCCTCTTAATCTAACGATCTGTATCTGTTCTTATGAATGCTATTGATGAATGAATAGGCGGCGATGAACACCGAAGGGAAAGTCGGTTGGGAGGAGATAGTTGATTCAAAGCTCGAAGGAAAATGTGATTTCCAAGAATTAAACGAAGTAGCAGCACTTGCGTACAAATGCATCAACCGCGCCCCGAGGAAGCGTCCTTCGATGAGGGACATAGTTCAAGTATTGACTCGGATCCTTAAAGCAAGGCACCAGAGGAATCATCATCACAAGAATTCGCTTTCGGAGACAGCAGATGAAGTTGCAATGGATGTCGATGAGGCGGAAAATAAGGATTCTGTTACTACTGACCACCACAGAAGAGATGAATCTATAGATAGTACAACTGACATGTATGATTTGTGACAATATTATTTTATATTTAGTTCATTCCTCTTTGGCTTTGCATATGAATATGACCTTAACTAGAACTTAGGATTTGAGTGATTTAATGATGCCTCACATCATTTTCTGTAGTTTTGTGTAACATTCTTTTTTTATTGCTTCATTCTCTTGCCTCAGTTCTGTTGTTTAGCAGAACAGAAACTCCAAAATTTGTATATTATTACCTTCATGAATGAAATTGATTGAGTAAAAAAATATCTGAGTTAACAAGGATTACCTGTTTCAACTGTAAAAAGAATTTAACTTAACATATCCCCTGTTTCAAATTTAGAAAGAATTTAACTTAACAAAATATAAATTTATCAAAAGGCATATATAACGCTTTAATTTAATTAATAGAATAAAATTGAATTAATTAAGAAGGAGTTACATAAGTGTTATTATCTTATTTGGATCAAACTCAGTTTTTATCAATTTTTTTTCTTTCTTCTCAACCGAACTCTCCTCTTTTTCAAGGTCAAAATTCTCAAATTTTAAATTTTAATCAAAAACCACAATTCAAGTATGAAACTTCATCGATAAACTATCATGGAAACCTTAGTTTTTCGTTTTACTCTTTTTTTTTTCATTTGTATCAAAATCCTAAATTTCAAATTCCTAAAATATTAAAATTTTGAATTTTGCATGTGTTATTAGTATCATCCTTCAAGACCTTGTAGTAAAGGAAACAAATGTGAGTTTTTTAAATATTTTTCTCAGGGTTGTTGACTGGAATAAGTTATAAGTGATGGTTCAAAATTCCACATATTCAAATTGGTGGTATGCATTTTTTTGTTAATTATTGAGACTTTTTAATACTTAAGATCTGAAGTTGGAAGGATCCAAATATAAAATTTGCTTGAAGATTGATCGGAGGGAGAGACGTTAGAATTGGAATTAGATGTTTTACTCTCAACAACTCAATTGGCGAGTTCCTTTTACAACGTAATTTATAATATAAGAAAACTCATTCTATCGTAAAAGCCTATTTTATTCTTTTGTTTCAAATACATAACAAGTAGATAGCTTCTTTGGTCTCTATTTTATATTTTCGTACTACAAAACATTGCCGGTTACAAAATTCAATTTCGACCATTCTACTTTCCCCACCTTTTCCAATTCGTTGGCGGCTATGAAATTTAATTCATGGTTTCAGAACCGTTTCTCAATTGTTTTCCTAGATTCTCCTTCCATTATCGTTTGGGGTTTTCAAACTTCCAATCTTCTCCATGCTTTAGATAAGCGAGTGAGGTCGATGGTTGTGAGGTTAGGGAACCTTTGGAAGATGCGGGGAAGGAAAGGGATGGTTTGATCGGTGATTGTGAGGGAGAATCAGAGACGGTTGGTGATGGAGAGAAACTATTTTGAGATGATGGAGAGAGACTTGAAAGTAATATGGTCGCCCTTGAGAGATTCGAAGACGCACTCCCATAAATCATCCGCTAAATATGAACATGGTTCAACCAATTTTCTTCTTGCCGCCATTGTTACTGTTCTTCTTTTTGAAAGATTGGATATCGATGACGTTGCCGCAATTGTTATTGCTGGGGATGGGGACTCCGCCGCCATTGTTACTGTTTAGGAGCTCCAATGGAATAGAAAATTAGGTTACCACTGTTAATTCTTATTTTGGTCCTATTGCTATTTATTTAACTATTATGACTTTCATGTTTTGTCAAAAAGGGAAATTATTGATTTATTTTTTTAATGATGAGGAATGCTATTTAGTCCGAAATAAATTGAATAAGAAAAACACCATCAACAATTTGAGTGGTAGATCTATAGCCAATTGTTGTACCCTAATTTTTGTCCCTAAGATTCCTTTACCATACCATATTGATTCAATCACGACAAGATCACATTAAGGCTTTTGGTTCTCCTTCCTATCTTTAGCTTTGCTCTTTGAGGAATCACCAAGCACCTTGACTTGTTTTTCTTGTGTAATCATTCATGTTTTTGTTTTGACTTTCCTTTTAATTAATAAAATGCAATGTTGGTTTGTCTTACTTGTCAATAATGCAGGTAAAGGCAATGAGGCTTAGCAAGTTGATCAATGAGTTCATGAGTTTATTTCCATGACCTATTCAATGAAGCTTGAGAAGTTCAAACCTCACCATGGAATTGTTTTGGAAGGGATGGCATGGCAAGGTTATTTTGGTTCACTACATTTCCAAATTATCAAGATTGATTCAAAAGTACAAGGGGTTGATTGAAGGAGTTGTCATGCTTGGACAATGCCTTGTTCCCATTGATCACAATTGCATATTTCTCTCAATTCTCAAGATATAGAAGTGGTTGTGGTTGCTATGAGTTCTCATTATCATCCTCAACAACTTATATTTACAAAGCATTTGTTTTGGTACAAGAAGTTTGTTCAAAATTGTCAAAGTTCCTCAAAGCATGTTCCTTAATCTAGGAGCTAGGGTTTTGAACTTCAAAGAAGTATATCTTGCTCATCTTTTAGTATTTTTGAGTGATTCCAAAGACATCCCTCTCTTCAAAGGGTTATCAACAAATCACTTCAAAAGTTCCAAGGAGTTTTCATGTGGAAGAAACTTGATGAAGAAGAAAGATTACAAGTCCTCTAGATGAATCCCCATTTTTCCATGTGTGACTTCAAATGATCATAACTTGGTCAATTTCTATCACCTTGAGCCCAATCTTTTTCCATAATGATTTTGAAGATATGAAATTTATGCCTTCTTTTATGTGCAAAGTGAGAAAATGAATGGAAATCGCGTTAAGAATACAAAAGATTATAGGTCATTTCATGATTTTTTGCCCACTTCAACAATTCATAACTCTCTCAATTTTTGAAGATTTTGAATGGTTCAAGTTCCAAAATTCCATTCAATAGATCTACTTCATGCCATCTTTTTTGATCAAGAGCAAATTCCAAGTAGAAGACTATGTTTGGATCCAAGACATTATAGGTCACTTTTGAAGAAGAATTTGAAATATTTCTAAGTATGGAAAGTCAACATTTTTTCTCCAACTTTGACTCAACACAACTTTCAGCTCAAGCATCCATTTGATTCCATTCTTTTTCCATTGCAAAGCTTGTAACCTCATCTTTCTGAAGCATCAAGAATCATGCCCTAAGACCCCTTGAGCTGAAAATACCATTGGTCAGAAGTTGGCACTTTGAAACTGAATTTTTCACCAAGTCAGAAGTTTGAAATCTTTGTTTTGGCTTGTAATCACAATATTTACACGCGTTTTTGATTTAAACTTGATTAACAAACTTTTCAGAAGTGTTTAGCACCTCAAAACGCAAGGATTGGATGAGTTTTGGTGAAAATTAGATCACACTTCACTCGTGCATCAGATTTGCACGAATTCCCTCCAAAATGCATCATTCACTATTCCTTTTGATCCCATTTGTTTCTCTTATAAATACATGAACTATCCCATTCATTTTCTCAAGCTTGGATAGCCAGAATCACCCTGCCAAACTTGTTCCATAACTCAGAATTCAGCAACTTCATAATTCATATACAAGCCTTTTTCAATCCATTATTTTTCATCAATTCACCTTCCTTGATCTTCCCTGAAGCTAATCATATAATTACATTGAAGAATCGTGCCCTATATTGCTCCATAGAAGTCCAGTTTCAGAGTTCTCCATCTCAACTTCAATAGGTAGATTCCTTCACCAAATCTTCAAAACTTTGATATCATTGTGATGCTCTCATTGCCCTGGTTCTAGTCGCAACACTTTCTTTTTACTGGAAACACATTTTGACCATGAAATTTCAAATCCCTTTTCAAAACTTTCTTTCCAAATTGTTTGAGCTACAATTTATATAAATTTGGCGCGAGGGTGTGGTTGTCTTCGTCTTGAAGAGACGAAGCGAATGGCATAGGTCTGAGCTTCTGATTTTACAGTTTGAGAGACTTACAATTCACGTTGGTTAGAGGTTGAAGATGACCAGCGTGTCATCTTCCAACCAATGATGACACGCCACTTGTTATTTTTGAATTCTGATTTAATAATTGATTTAGTGCTTTATTCACTAATGACCATGATATGCACAGCGCGCCAGATCCCTTGGATTTGATTACTAACGTGTTTTGACTCTCATCCAATGGTCCACATATTTTTTACTTTTATTTTCTTTTCTGATTTTTTATATTTAATTGTTTTAAACTTCAAAAAATCATAGAAAATTCATTTTAAGTCCAAAAAATCTGAAAAAATCATGAAAAATATTTTTGATTATTCTCTTTCTGATTTTTATTTTTTCACAATTTAATTTTGTGTTTTGGTATTTTTTTTATAAATTTACACTTTATTTGATTTGTTTTAAATGTTTAAAAATACTTTTATGCATTTTTAAACTCTGAAAAAATTATGGAATGATCCAATGATATTGTGATAAATATTGGTGACCTTATTTTATTTTTGTTTCTGACTTTTCTATTTTTTTTATCATTTTTGGTTTATTTTACCCCTTTCTTTTAATTTTAAAAATAGTTTCTGACTTTAAAAAATTTCCAAAAAAGTTTATAAAATTATTTTAGTTCATTTCTGATTTTTCTATGGTCTTAATTTTTATTTCTTGATTAATTTGGACATAGTTGATATTTTTCTCTTTTATTTCTATTTTTAAACATTGTTTTTAAACCTTTTTGTATATATTAAAATGCAATATTATTTTGTGATTATTTTCTGGCTGATCTTGGATTAAATTTTTGATCATGAACTTTATTAACATCATTGGATCCATGGTGTTGAGTCTAACTCCACAAAAATGGATGAATGGTTTTAATAATAATTTGATTAAATTTAATTCAAAAGTGGTTTGTATATTCTCTCTCATCCCTCTTCATCTCATCTCCTTCTTATTGCACTAAATGTTGTTGGAGCATGATCTCTATATCATGTTTCAAAACAAATGGTGCATAGATTGCTATTGACCGGCCTCAAAATAGGTGTGACTTTCATATAAGTCCACTTACGATTGCTTAACATAGCGCTAAATTTTGTCCAAATTCAAATAAATGATCATTCGTGGCCCAAACTTATGTTTGTAAGCCCAAGTATGTTAATTTGATCTCTTTGATCCAATAACCTTGAGATTCATTGTGTGAAGGCTTTGGTTCTACCAATCCACTAATGGATCTACAACACCTTTGGTCAATGCGGATCACCTAAACATCGTTGATCATTAAACGATATTCATAAGGATTCCAAATAGATGATATACTTGACAAAAAGCAAATGCAACTTGTTGTGTGGAGGCTTTGGGTCTACCAATCCTCTAATGAGTTCCAAATGCAAGTTTCAAGATGATCATCCAACTAACCACTAATCACTAATAATTGACTTTATCCTTTATTCTTTTATATGCCCCTTTTATTTTTATGCACTATTTTTTTTTAGCATTTACATTTCATGTCATTTTTTATCTTTGCTCATTTGAGCATTTACTTTCTTGTCATTTTTATTTTTGCTCATTTGGGCTTTACTTTTTTTTTCAAAACATCTAATAATCAACATAAATCCTAAAAATGTTTAATGATACTTGGACTATTTGGTTACTATCCTTGGCATTATGGAGCATTGGACTTTTTGGCCTTAGGATTAGAAACCTTGGCCTATGAGTGGAGACACTATGATCTTATCTGATTATTTTGTCTGGAGATCTCGAGGTTTACCTCAAGACCTTGGGTTGTTTGTTTGTTTTGTTTGCAGGTTATTATGATTACACCCTTGGTTTATAATCTGGAATTCACCCGTATACAGTCGTTACTCTGTCCAATTTTTGTGAAGACTTAATACACTTGAAGTTTGGTTTTCCCAATAGGTCTAGTATCATTTGTTTGTTTGGTTTCAATCCAAAGAATGGGAATTCTATTTTGGATCATAGTGTCAAGTATTAGATTCTTGTTGGTTAGATGGTTCTTATCCCTAGCTTTTATCTTATGCTTTAGGATAACCTCTTCTTCTCCTCCCATCTTCTTTAATTTCAAAAATCTTCTCCCCTCTTTTGAAAACTCTTCGTGTTTTAAACTTGAATTACTTTTATAATAAACTTGGACTTAGGTCCATGCATTTTCAAACATTTTCATAAATAAACTCCAATAAACTTAATAATACTTTGACATTTTTGTGAGAAAACTAAAAGTCAATCAATCTCATTTCAAACCATCTTGCCACTTTGGCTTTTATCTTTAAACTTTTCTCAAAAGATTGAACTCTTGTCAATCCTTGTAGTGGTGCAAACAACTAGACTTCTACAATATGTAGTAAAGAGAGATATTTTCCACTTGGGTGTTAAGTGAGGCATTGTTGATTTTAAAATCCAAGTCATATCCTTCACTTTGAGATGATGCAAATTCTCCTTTCTCATGATTGTGGGTAGTAGGTATGTTTTCCACACAGACAATGACGATGATATTTTATCTCGTAAAATTGACCAACACATTTGTGTTTTAGAATTTTTAAAAGAGGAACTACGTATACCCTGATCCCCTATTGCATGAAAAGGTGGTATGTAGACACTAAAGGTTCGCAACCGCGGCAGGTGCAAAAATCATTAAAAAAAATGTTTCTTTTCCCACCTCCACCATCTATTTTATACAACATTTTTCATAGCCAAAATATACAGATTTTTCAAAGAGGTTCCTGTGGAGTACCGTAGATGTTTAGGGTGCTAATATCTTTCCTTTGCATAACCAACCCCCTTACCTAGAATCTTTCCCCTTCTTTTTGGGTTATTCGCTCTTTTCCCATTCCTTTGAAAATAATAAAGCGCGGTGGCGATTTTTATTTTGATTTGTATAAGTCTAGTCAATCCAATGGCTTAGTCTTAAACATTTCTACCGCTACACCAACGACAAAAGAAATTAGGGTTTTACGATACCCACCTCTTTGCTTTTCTATAGATCTTTGCTTATTTGAAATATGTTAACATAATTAGTTTATTTGCTCTTGTGAATTTTAAATTTAAGCTTAATTTTGATATTTTAACTTAAGATGTCAATTTGCTTATTATTTTATTTGTTTATACACAATTCCTTATAGCACACACGCTCACACACAAATGACTTGTAAATGTTTAGCATCATAACTCTGTTTTATCTTGTAGTGTTACTGCACCCTCAAGTTCGACGGTGCATCCAGTGGAAATCCTGGAAAATCTGGTGCAGGAGTTGTACTGCATTCTGGGAATGAGGTGTATACTCTATGTATCGATTCATATTTGTAAATATATACTATAAACTATGTGTCAAGTGTAGCTAACTGTTGGGTTTCTTTAAAGGTCCAACGCTTCGGTCGAGGACTGAGCACTCAAATAAATAATTCTGCTGAGTATCAAGGTTTAATTTTGGGATTGAAAGAAGCCGGTAACAAAGGATATGATTGTAACGCCCCGATATTTAATTATTTATTTAATTAAATATTTTTGAATATTTTATATTAATTCTAATTTTTATCGTCGAAGTCGAAATTATTTTATTAAGTTGGAATAATAATTAATCAGATTAATTTGGTGGAATTAAGTTGAAGTATTATTTTACTATTAAGCTTAATTATGATATTGGACTTTAATTGATGGTGTTGTGTAGTATTAGGGGGGTATGTCACTTAGGCCCATTTGAATTTACTAATAATTAAATAAAATAGTAGTATTATATAGAATAAATGAATCAGAGGAGAAAGAGAAGAAATAGAGTTATCAGGAAAGAAGAAAAGAGGAACAAGAGTTTTGTGAGAGAAGAAGAAGAACAAGGATATTGTTTATAGTGTCATATTCACCAGAAATTCGGTTGAAGTTTCTTAGAACTGCACTAAATCCAAGATAAGAGTGGGGTTCTGACTTTATACAAGGGTGTATGATTTTTAGTATGTGAATTTGGGTTATAAAAATTATTTTTAATTGTGTTTGAAATTGATATATTAGTGAATTGAGAGATGATTGTGAACCCAAATTATATACACATAAGCACTCTAGCGCTACTCCTTTTATTTCATACGACATGTTCCAATTTATGAGCAATTCGGTATTGTAGCTGTAATATGAGTCATGGATATGTATGACTAGTGATGGAGGAAAAATTGAATACCGTAGCCAATTTATGAGCAATTCGGTATTGTAGCTGTAATATGAGTCATGGATATGTATGACTAGTGATGGAGGAAAAATTGAATACCGTAGCGATATATTGCATCATTCGCTTTAACTAATTGTATTAGTACTATGAAAATTGAATGAACCATATTATACTAATACTGCACTGAGAGATAGTAAGAAATATATCTATATTCAATACTGTAGCGAGAGAAAACTAGAATCATATATATATACTATAATCAATTTTAGTTACTAATATATTACTTCATTAGCATGATAATAATAATAATATTAATAATAATAATATTAATAATTTAGTATTATTAATATAATAATTTTTTTAAGAATTTTGAGTTAGAGATAATTATTTGGATTATTTAACTAATTTAAGTTATTTCTCAATTTCGGTAGAGTTGTTACAATTGTCAATTGAGTTTTCAATAGGGTTGTTAGACCACCTCCAACGGTGGTTTTTCAGATTGGTTTGCCAGCTTTGCATTGGAATTGTCAACAAAAAAATTATTCCAGCTGGTAAACGGTACAAATATAAGCAACGGTTCTTCATATTTTTTTATTATTAAAATAATCAATTAAAATTATGGGACCCAATATAAAATTTAGTATGAATAAAATATTAATATACAAAGTAAAATTGTGGGGCCCAATATAAGTTCTTTAAAATTGCATAATTGGAGTGAAAAATGGAGTGAGTTACTTCAAGATGATGTGGCTTAATGAGTCCCACAAAGAACTCAAATATGAGTAGCACCATTGGAGATGCTTAGAGTTTTCAATAAGGTTGTTAAAATTATCAATAGAGTTGTTTTGTATCATTAAAAATCATTTTTATTTGTTTTGCATAATTCCGACATATTTAGAGTTGTCAGTAGGATAAGTTGAAGTGTCCTAATAATAACACATCTTTACTAAATTATTGATATTTTAGTTATAGATTTTTAGTTAAATTTAGTAGCAGCCATGTTACTTAGACATAATAAATTAGTAATTAACAATTGGATAGATGAACCACCAATTTAGTGTATACTATAGAGTTAAATGGTTTACTATTATGTTGAGAATGATAATTGACACCGTAGTGGCATCTTGTATTTAGAAGTGCCTCTTACTCATACTAGATTATGCAAGTCACTAGATTAGTATTAATAATATAGATTATAATAATAATGATTTAATATCATTAATAAATAATTTTGTAGAAAGTATAAAGTAGAAATAATAGAATTTTTGACCGATAATTAATTAATCGATTTTAGTCGAAATAGTCCAAATAATTATACGGTTTATTGTAGTAATTTTTGGTTGATCTGTTGGGTGGTGTTTTTATCGAAAAATGTGAATTGACATGTGATTTTATTGCCTATATTTATGGGCAAAATATTAAGTTGCAGGCTTATGGCCAATGTTGAAGTAAGTTGAATTATTGTTGTTGTTGTTATTACGTTCATGTCGTTGATGCATACATAACATATCATGTTGGAGCTCATGCTCGTCAAGTTGACCTGAATTGGAAAATATAAAGTTGAAGGCTTATGTCTTGTTGATATCTCTATTTATTGGCAGATTTCTAAGTTAGGAGTTATGCTTCATTGGTACCACATGCATGTGCATAAAAATGAGTCGCATTTCATGTTGCATCCTGAGTTGTCGTGTGGATGAATTAATTATGTTAAATGTTGATAAAAAGCTGTGAAGTTGTGAATTGTATGATCTAATAATAATATATTATTTATTGAATATCCGATTATATGGGTCGATATCTCACTCCTTCTGTTTGAATGTTGCCGTCTGTTGGTAACGTACAGGTAATCAAGAATGTTAGCTGTTACCCTCGTTAGTTCGAGTCGGTGTTGTCGCTCTGATACGTAGCACTCGGGGGATGAACGCATGTTTTCTTTATTGTTGATTTTCATTATGTTGCTGAATTTTTAAGTTGTTTTCATTAAAGACTTGTTGTCTTAAAGTTGTTTTGAGTTGGATAAGATGTTATGGTGTTTTCAGTTGAATTTTGTGAATCCGTTGCGTAGTAACGAAAGTTGTTTTATTTTTAAAGACTAAGCAGGTTGTTATCGGTTCATCCGAATTTCATGTGTTATGTATCTGAACTATAGACGATTAAATGTCGTAGTTTTAAGTTGAAAGTGTAACATTCCATTTGTTTGTTAAAATTTTTTATAACACTGATTTTATTTAACTCGTCGGATAGAAATGGGGTGTTACAATGATCATGTTGAAATATGAGGCGATTCCAAGCTTGTCTGCGAGCAGGTTAGTTTCCTTTTTATAAGGAATTTACCATAATATTTGATTTGTTTTGCAACAGTTTGTGGGTAATTGGAAAGTCAACAACCCGAATTTAAGGGACCTACCTAATGAGGCTTTGTACTTGAAGGATAACCTCAAGTCAGTCGGTGTTCAACATGTTTCTAGGGTATACCATCTTCTCTATTTTATTTATTGACACAATGAAACAATGTTTGTCAAATTGCTATCTTTCTTAATTGGGTTTTGATCTATTCCACCACTGTCATTAGTAATGTATATTTTCCCTCATTATACGGTAATTTTAACAAATGCCTTTCTTTTTTTTAAATGTTTTAAGGGTTCTAACAAAGAAGCTGATGCTCAAGCAAGTTGGGGCAAAAACCGTGAAGGTTATACTTTAAATCTTTTTCGAGTTCTTAACTATTTGGCTTCCCAATTACTCTTGTGGAATCTTGGTACATCTTGTGTTATTATATCTTTTGTCTGTTTAAGAAAAATGAATTACCAATAAATTGAATCCTAAGCTCAATTCACTACACAAGGTGAATTATGAGATCATGTTTCAATAGGATTTTGATTTTGATTTTGATTTTGCAGATGATTTTGACTCCAACACATTTAGAAATTGGTTCATCATGGATCAAAACTCATGGATCAAAGTATGTTCTTCAAAATAAAGAATAGAACCTGGTATTTAGTCTATTTTATGTTATATATGTTGTTGTAATGATGCTTTTTATTTTAAGCATTAGGATTGATAAACAATTCTTTACAATGATTATTTAACTAACATGCATTAGCAATTATGCTTTTTTAACTTTTAAAATGATAAAACATGAGCCAGTTTTGTAAAAGAATTTTGAAAACAGAATTTGAAAACACTATTCAAACAGGTTGTTACCTTTTGGTAATCTTTTACTCATTCTACCAAAAGAAATTGGAGATTCCACATGACTTCTCACTTGTACTTTTTGCAGGGTACTATTGTTTTCCTTATGTATATACTTTTCCTCCGACACGAACCTGTCAATGTTCCAAATTCTATTATCTTAAGTATTGTTGCAGGTTTGTGCTCATTTGTAGGTATTCCATTTCATTGTAGAGTACAATTTTAGTCATTGGCCTAATATTTGTATTGCACTTTTGGAAATTGTGTAGTGGCAGGAGTAAAATGGGTAATCAGAGCAGACAAGGATAGGAAGACCAAATTCTGTTGTGTTCAGCCTAATGTTGTTGAGCCATATTTGAGAACATCCGGTCTTGAATGAGAGGTTGTTCTACATCGCTTTTTATTCATTGAAGGCTTGAATGTATTCTCTCAGGGATCTATTGGTTAGAATTCACTCACTTATTTAATTTAATTTGGACAGTTGTTATCATTAAACTATTTTAGTGCATAAATTTGTGTTTCAATTGTTATTATTTAATTATGCATGAAATTGTAGGTGCTAAAGTTCAGGTCATAGAGAAGACAAAGGTACATAAGTTCATTGCATTATTATTTGAACCGAGAACAAGCACAATTTCTTTGATGTCTGCAATGTAGTTGATTCCTTAGTTAACACTAGTTGGATTCTCTTATGCATTTACTTTGGTAGGACAAGTTGAATTTTAATACAAACAGTTTCCTGAGAACATGAGAAGTCTTGCAGGATCACTTTTTCTGTGGATTGGCACTGTCAAGTTATCTTAGTAGTGTGTACAGATAAAATTCAACTGATGATTGTATATGAGAAAGTATGCAATGGTTCTCTTGACCACTTCCTGCTGCGTATGGTAATCAGGCTGCTATGGGATATGGAAACCAGTCGGGGTTGCAATCACTGTACCTGAATCCTCAGTTGGGACATAGTGGTGGTGCTAGAATTGGAGAATGATGTATGACACATAATGCATGTTTTAGAATGCATCTGTGTTGTTAACCTATACTATATTTTTCAACTATTTTCATAACTGAAGGAGGGCATAGATTGTTTCCACTTATGCGTATGAATCTCTTTTTGGTTTGAAAGATCTTCATCTAATTGTGTTTTGTGTATTTTCTCCAGTGTTTTATTTATTATTACCACAAGTATAGACGAGATTAAAACCAAATTTACATATTCACTGATTATTGCGAGATGGTTTACGACATCATACCACATAGATTCTGACAACAAGGTTGGTGCAGACAAGCTTGGAAATATATCTATTTTCTGCGATTGTCGCATATGTATCTGATGGTGCGATTGTCGCTGATTGATATATATATTGACTATTTACACATGGGAATAATATTCATCTGGTCCTGCAACATTTTTACAAAAGACAAGGCAAGGGTGTGTCACTTTGCAGACAAATTTGCTCCTGATGCAAACAGCCAGGTTTGTTTTCTAATCTAACGAGCATTATGACTATTACATTTTGTACCCTTCTTTCAGGCTATGGCAAAGAAGTTGGGTGACAACTATTTTCGGAGGGGGAGATTCTGTTTTGGCTGTTCACACTTAGGAAAAGTTTGATTTTGTTTGTCTCATCACATTCAATAGGGAGGCTGATGGCTCTCTTAAATCCCTGTCTGTAAAGCATGTTGACACTGGGATGAGTTTTGAATGATTGACATCTATTCTACAGAACAAAATCTGCTAAATTTCAGGTTCATAATATTCTTTATGTTCGGCTGATGTTTATGGATATTATTTTCCACATGTAATTTAATTTAGCCTATATTTTCTCTGGCGCTTCTGATGCAGCATATCTAGCGGATTTCTCGGTACTTTATATATACTCTTTTTGGCTGCTTTATTGGGCATAGTTGATGGAGTTCTAATGACACAACTCAGTGCTTTACTAGGAATTCTATTTAAGCATGACATGGTACACAAATGCAATCTACCTCTTCAATTACGCATAAGCACATTTTAATTCTTGTCATAGACATCCTTATTATTTATTGTTCTCATATTGTGCATATGATTTTTGCTTGATTCATTTCTTGATCATTTTATCTTAATGATCATTTTATCTTTTCCCAATATCTCTAATGTCAAATCGATATCAACACGTGGACAAACTGCTTATACAGAAGCAGGAAATGTTGTTGATCAAACCATGGGAGCCATCAAAACAGTAAGACACTTGCATCAATGCGTAGTTATAACAGTTTAGTTCAATTCTGCTACCTGCAATCAAACTATGATGTATCTGACATTTTTTTTTTTGTAAAATTGACCAGGTTGCGTCTTTTACCGGGGAGAAAAAGGCAATATAAAAGTACAATAGTAAGTTAAAAGTTGCTTATACGAGTACGATTCAATAAGGAACTGCGACAAGATTTAGAATGGGGTTACTTTCATTGATTATGTTTAGCACCTATGGACTTGCAATGTGGTATGGTTCCATGTTAGTCCTTGAGAAGGGATATACTGGTGGAACTGTTATGAGTGTAATCATAGCTCTTATGACTGGTGGAATGTAAGTGTGAAATTTGTATTTGAAAATGATAAACTTTTAGACATGATAATTTTATAGACCTCAATGAGCATAATATTTCAGTCATTTATAGGTCATTGGGTCAGACATTTCCATGCATAGATGCATTTACTACAGAACAAGTAGCTGCGTATAAAATGTTTGAGACGATTAAAAGAAAGCCAAAAATTGATGCATATGACACAAGTGGTGAAATCTTGGAGGACATAAAGGGATATATTGAACTCAAAGATGTTTACTTCAAATACCCTACAAGGCCGAACGTGCAGATATTTGCTGGATTTTCACAGTTTGTTCCAAGTGGCACAACTACTGCTTTGGTGGGTCAAAGTGGAAGTGGAAAGTCTTCTGCGATCAGTTTATTGGATAGATTCTATGATCTTGATGCTGGAGAAGCACTTATAGATGGTGTGAATTTGAAGAACTTGCAACTTAAATGGATAAGGGATCAGATTGGATTGGTTAATCAAGAGCCTATATTGTTTACTACTACTATCAGAGAGAGCATGGCGTATGGGAAAGAAGGTGCAACTGATAAAGAGATAACAGCGGCAATAACACTTTCTAATGCGAAAAAGTTCATCGACAAACTGCCTCAGGCATGTGTAATATTGAAAAATTTGATCATGTTTGATTGAAATTAATGATAATGATATGGAAATTGTGTTTGTAGGGCCTTGACACCATGGCGAGAAAACATTTGTGATAATTGATGATGGATGGCAATCTATTAGCATGGATCCGAATGGTATTGAATGGAAAGCTGATTCTACAACAAAGTAAGTTTCATATTTGAAAAATAAATTATAGTTCTATACATTTTCTCAGTGTTGAATAAGAAATACTAATTTTTGAAAAATAGATTATAGTTCTAAACATTTTCTCAGTGTTTAATTCCTGTTTATGACCATATTATAGTTCCTATAGCAAGAACCTTTACTGGTAAACCCTCTGGCATCACTATGCTACAGAGAATTGGAACTGGAATTCTTTTTTCCTGTATTTTCTATGGTAATTGCAGCTTTTGTCGAGATTTGATATTGTTTACAAATTAAAAGCCATGCTTGGAGAACAAAGGAGCTGGTGCCCTGCCAAGGGTGTACGGAGGAGTATAAATACGTGCAATGATTCACAAAGCAGTCTGGGAGAGGAGTCAGAACATTATTGATGAGGTTCACTGGAATGGAAAAAAGGTATCAGTACCATGAACTTCCAATCTGTAATGCAGGGAAGCTTCTGTTTTGTGATTTCTAATACAATTGAGAAACTACACTAACTTCCAGGTGTAGGTCCTAATATTTCTCATTTGGTATGTGTGCGTTGTTTTTGTAACTTAATCATTTGGTATGTGTGCGTTGTTTTTGTAACTTAATCAGTATGTTTCATTAATTTTAAGGTTCATTTTGTTAATGGTATTAGCTTTTATCCTAAATGATTTTTGATATTGGTTATGTATGTTGTGATAATTGGATGGAACAATATCCAATGAATATTTTTAGACACTCATGAGTCTGTATTGGTTATGTAGTATGGAAAATAAAATTGAACTTATTTATTATGAATCTTAAGCAAATAGACATGTTTTCAGAAAATGTCATTTGAATTCAACCTTGAAGATTTACTTAACAACAATATTTTATAATAGAAACGATATAAATAATATTAAAAATTTCTTTTCTTTTTTTGTCTAAAAAACGTTTTTAAATAATTAGTATTAATTGTCTATTCAATTTATAACATATTAAATATATAATTATTTAGTTTGCAAATTAAATATATCTTAGCTAAATATTTTAATTAAAAATTATATGTGTTTGGACTTTATACTCAAGTGAAATAGTATAAATGGTATAAATAAGAATGAGATGTTTTTGTTACTATTTCAATTTTATATTATTTTTTTAATTAGAACTATTGCATTTTATTCTTTTATACGCATTGCACATACTAATAATGCAAAATAGCATTTTTACAAACTCAATTATTCTTTTATTTAAATTATTTTTTATTATAAATAATATTATAATATTTAATTATTTTTTCTTCCTAAATGAATTATGCTTAACTCAATGAAAATATCAGACCAGTACCCGTGCGAACGCACAGGTATCATTTTAGTTATGCAATTGAAATACTAGTGCAAATTAATTAGATTATTAATTTGAGCAAATAAGTTAGTTCTTTAGAAATTCCAAAGCATTAGTTTAGGGGTTATTAGATATTTGATTACAATGTTTATTATTTAATATTATAATGATGAACTTCAGAATTCGTATGACATATATGTCATAAAAGTGATCATATCTTTTATTTGGTAACTGTGTTATAGATTATTTTTTGGAATTTAAAAAAGTAGACTTAATTGTCTTCAATTCGAGTACTAATTTCATAGGAAGAAGATTTGTAATAAGTTCGGGGCATGAATTTTAAGTTGAAGTTGTAGTGTTGAAACTACAGAATTTGTCTTTACAGATTTTAAGAAGAAAAATAGTAATTTCTTGATTATATGTGTGTGTATGCCCTTGTGCTAAGAGTTAGGATACTTTATGGGATTGCTTCGTGTTGGTAAAACCCTATGCTCTCGGGGATCATTCTATGTTATGTTACATTTTTTCTAGGCTTTCTCGCTCTACTAACTATCAGGACTGCCCCCATCGCTCGCGCACAGACAAGTTCTAAAAGTATTTGACTTGAATTCATTTCAAGCGTGAGCCCCGTCAATATGTTGTTCAACTGGACACTCTCACTCTTGATGAGGTTGAGATAAAGAAATATCTTGACATTTTTTACGAGAATTTTGATTATGAGGAGGATTTGTTCTTACTGAAGTAAAGTCTTATGTGTAGAGGAAATGATCCATTGATACTCGTGTTATTGTGGGTGTAACGAGTACTCTAGATAGGAAGGAATTATTTGGTGAAGATATGATCTTTCCCTTGTAGCCCTCCCTCCTTTTGATATGGGTCTTTGATATTCGTAGATAAAATGAATTCTTTGAAGAAGGTTTTCGACATTGCTAAAGTGTGGAAGGCTCTAGGTGTCACTGTTACTCCTCCTTTTGTTGGTCCTAGTACATTTTCCACCGCCAAAGTCTCCTTAGTCTCCCCTAGTTCGGGCAAACATTATTTTGAGGTTGTTGATGAAGTTGTTAAGGGTTGAGCTCATCCCATTTACCTAATAGCAAAAGGGGTCGGGACCAGGATTTGAGTCCCCCGCGGGAGGGAGATCTGGCTAAATGGACCGGGTTGTCTGGGGGTGCCACTTCCAGGGTTATCCACTCCTCTTTTCAAGTTATCAACTATTTTTCAATCTTGGATACCCCGCACTTCTCAAGAGACACTTGTTGCGATATCTAAAGAGGATCTTGCTTACCTTCTAAACCTTCCTAGAGCAAAGAAGATAAAGCTCTTATCAAAGGTCACTTTCTACACTTATCAAAATGTTTCTCTATTTTCTCTGGTTGCTGCTTGTCGAGGCGATATTTTAGCTATGGGTAACCCTTCCAAGGAAAGGGATACCTAGAAGAGGAAATATGAAATGAGTGAACAAGAGAGGTCCAAGCATTCAACGAGAAGTGTTGCCTCTTCAAAAAAAGGCTAGTTGTGTGGAGTCTCTTTAAAATGAGGCAAAAGTTCATGGATCCCTTTCGTCTCTTGCTGCCAGGACTGTTGAGCTTGAGTGCTCTCTAGAAATGAATAAAAAATCTCGAAAGGAGGCTACCACTGTTATTGTAGACATAAAGTCCTACGCTGACAAGGTTGTGGGAACCCTTCAACGGGGGAAGGAATCCAGAGCTAAGGATCGTGAAGCCTTTAAGGGATATGTGGCTGGCATGAGGAAGAAGGTTGACGAGACCCTTCAGCAAACTCTTAAGAGGGTGTGTGGATCCTTTGACCAAGATGCAAATGAAGTGGAAGCACTTCGCCTGAATATTCCTATTCCTCGTTTGCAGTTTGTGCCGCTCAAGATCGTTTGGGATGAGGTCGTGGTGGAGGATGACAGAGCAGCGCCTCAATATGGAGAGACTTGATTTCGTCTTATGTGCAATGTAAACATGGTATTGTGCCCTTGTATTTCTTGTTACTCGTATGAACCATAATGTTTTGTTTACCTTTTTTATTGATGTTTTCTTTATGCTTGTCATGCTTTGCTTAATATTCTTTCTGATCTTGATGTACCATTAGGTTCATTCTTGACCCAGTCTCTTAACTTTGGACATGTTTTTGGTTTCTGTCTTTATTGCGCCCATATCAGATTGTTCTATTAAGTGAGATCTTGCATTATTTGTATTGTCCTTATTAGATCCCTTCTTAAGGGGGGAACCAATTAGAATTTTGGAGCTTGCTTTCACTTACTCCTTGGTTAGGCTTGGCAGTTGTCATAATTGTGAAACTTTGTTGTCTCGATCTATGGGAGGTGGAGTAGCTACCAAGCTTCATCGTTACTTGTCCCAGTTAAAAGGTGTAGGTGTAACTGATAAGCTTGCCATTGCACATCCCAATAGAGGAGAGTTTTTGCAAATCTTAAGCGTCACTAGGAACCATCCCCGACCAAAGGTGGAGTTTCTGTCCCTGCCTATAGGTTTTATCTTGGTTCGGGGGTGGACGTCTCCTAGACTCCACCTGCCTACACTCTTGGAGTGACTAGTTCCTAAGATAGGTGTGTGTCAGCTACATAAATACAATATATGCCATATTAGAGAGAATTATAATATTACTTGGGCGTACAACATTTCTTTTAGGACAAAAATTTATTTATTTGAATTTAGAAGAATCTTAAGAGATACTTATTTAATGTGTGAATAGGATTAACATTTGTTTCCTAGACATTAAAAGGTTCACGCCTGACAGTCTAGCGATCAGATTTACCTTCAAAGGGATATCAATAAATGCTTTTTATTTCCCTACCTCCTTCTTCCCTCTATGGTGAGTTAGCGAATTCAACCCCCCTCTAATTTTTCATATTTAGTCTTTCGCTCGGATCACAAGCTAATATTTCGTCAGATTACCACTTTTCTTAGAGTTGAGGTGGGTTACTTGGACTTTAAGAAACAAGTTTTACATCGGGCGATCTCAGGTCAGCGCCACTACAGCTACTAGGTATTATCCAATTTGAGTGTGAGAACCTTCACAGATTTGTCCTTTAGAAAAAGTGCATCGTTGGCTTAAGTTGGTGTGTATGTCAGTTTGACTGGCCAAGCAGTGGGAGTAGATTTAAACGATATGTCTCCTTTCATAGACAATCCTCAGATCTGCTGGATCCACGAGTTTCCTTTCTCCTTTTATTCCAATCAATGTGGAGGAAATCTTCTTTCGTGTTCATCTTGAGCTTTATTTAAATCTGTCAATTTTCAATCTAGATTGAGTTTCTCAATATGATACGACATATTTCTATGATGAAGAAGGATCTTGAATTTTTAATATTGAGTTCCCCAAAACTATACGACCTATCTTTAAGATGATTGAAGTGAAAATTAGAGATCATAAAAATGTTTCTTGAATCTCACGTGTGATGACTAGTGGTGAAAATAGGCTAGGCCGAGTTAGACTTTGTCAAGTCTAAGTCTGTCCTGGCAATAAAACCGAAGCCTAAGTCTGGCATGTAGTCTGTCATAAGTTTATTTTTAGGCCTGAGTATGACCTTTTTTAAGGCCTAATATTTTTTAACTAAATAGACTTATAAAAAACTAGACTTTTTTTATTTAAAAAAAAAAAGTCTGACCTGACCTGAACCTCTGTAGGCTAGGTCGTAGGTCAATGTTAGTCGATCTAGCTTATTTCCATCCCTAGTGATGACTATATATGTTGGATAGTTTCAAATGGTCTATGCATAGTTTGACTTTTGCATTGGACTTTTAACCGACTGAGAAGGATTTATTATTATTATTATTATTATTATTATTATTATTATTATTATTATTATTATTATTATTATTATTATTATTATTATTATTATTCAACAAAATTAAGAAAAATGAGAATAGAGAAGGAGCTAGAATTTGGGCTTACAAAAGTAACCCATTTGAAGCCCACGGTCCATTTTCAGACCAAATTCTCTTCATTTTCTCTCTTTTATTTTGAGATTTTATATTATCCAGAATCGTTATCAGAAGCAGAAGCAAAAAGAACAAGAGGTTACATACAACAACAACGACAACAACAATGGTAGCTATGGCTATGGCTTCTCTTCAGAGTTCCATGACCTCTCTCTCCCTCTCCTCCAACTCTTTCTTCGGCCAGTCTCTCTCTCCCATCCCTCTCTCCCCTTTTCTTCCGGTACCTCCTTCTCTTACTCTCCATTCATTTCGCTACTTTTATTTAATTCAATTGTCAATTTTTTCGATTCGAGTTCGTTTCAAGACTCCAACTTTATGCGTATCAGCATTTCAATTTTTTGTTTTCCTTTTTTATGCCAAATTTCTCATTCCCGATCCAGAAATTATAACTATACCATGTTCATTTACTGTTCTGCTTTTTTTCGTAATCTGCTATTGATTACACTGCTAAAATGCAATAATGCAATAATTCTATACTGTTCTAATTCTTGCTGATGGACCTCTCAAAAGTTAATGTGAATTTTATATTTGTGATATGCAGGGCAAGACAATTGAGAAGAAATGTCTTATTGTAATGAAGGTCAGTACCAAATTATAAACCTTTAAGCAACATAAATATATTGTCTAGGTAGCTTTACTCATGTATTTTTTTCTCCTGTTTCTCTTCTGGCAGCTTAATCGATGGGAGCGAAAGGAATGTAAACCAAACAGCCTTCCTGTGTTACACAAATTGCATGTTAAAGTTGGAGATACAGTGAAAGTCATATCTGGACATGAAAAGGGTGAAATAGGGGAGATTACCAAGGTCCTAAAACACAACAGCACTGTCATTGTTAAAGACATAAACTTGAAGACAAAGCATGTGAAAAGTCGTGAAGAGGGAAAACCAGGCGAGATAATTACGGTGATTATCATCTCCCTTGCTAGGAAAACATTATTACATTTCTTCTCATCCAATCTAAATCTTTGAGAAACCATTGCTTTGAATTTCAGGTTGAAGCTCCTATCCACAGTTCAAATGTGATGCTTTACTCCAAAGAAAAGGATGTAGCAAGCCGCGTAGGTCATAAAGTTCTTGACAATGGTAAAAGAGTCCGCTACCTGATCAAAACTGGAGAGATAATTGATAGTGCAGAGAATTGGAAGAAACTGAAGGAAGCTAATAAGAAAACTGCTGCTACCTAGATTTACTCTATTACTTCATGTACTCAGCAGTTATGTAATTTTATATTTTTTGCTCATTTTATTGTTAACTAACTGTATATTATGTTATTGTTTTCGTTGCCTATGTTGATCTTCATATACAACTTAGTAATTGAATTTATTTGTTGTCCTTTTAAAGAGAGAAAATGTTCTTGACTCTCTCTACCTGCTGGAGAATAGTCTCATTCACACAACTCATACACTTGAGTCTGGTTCCCACACGAAACCGATACATTGGAGGAATTATAGTGGGGCTATATGCTTCAAAATTATGTACTCAATCAATCCTTCCTCTTGAGAGGATAAGCCTTGATAATGTGAGTTAGATGTGTTATAATATTATAATATTATTATCTTGTTACAAATCATAACCTCATTTTGTATCAAATGGATGTTTAAATTATTTTTGAGTCTTAGTAGGTTTTTAAAGTTTTGTAAATAAAGGTAACATGAGAAAGAAAAATGATTGCAAAAGAGATGGGAGCAAGGTTAACCCCCATCAAAATGTAAAGAACCGACGTCCTTAACCTTAGCCTTCCTGCGTCTGGATTCGATATCCTAACATGTTATCCCACAATCTTTTAAAATTAAATTTTACAAGGATGAGGTTGTTAGCCTGAGATTTATGCTCTGCATTTCGACATGAATATGGATATGAGATGTATATAAAGGTTAAGTGCAGGTAACTAAGTTATGTTTTCAACATCAAATGGACTTTTTATAAATTTAAAAAATGAATTTTTTGATATATATGATTAGGTAACTTAAAGATGTTTTTGACAGTAGTAACGGTTGAAGCAGTTCAAAAATCAAAGACACGTGAAAACACATCTGGTGACAAAATCTCATATAACGATATACGTGTCGAATTCTCAAGAGATAATCGTTGTTGAGAGTTATTGATGTACCTAGTATATAATTAGATTTTGATGTTGTAATAAAGTTTGACATTTCATGTTGTTTTCCGTAAAATTCACACATCTAAGTCATAGAAATAAAGAATTTGTGAGAAATATATGAACTTGAGTTCCACTCTTAATTCAAATATTTTTATCCAATTGTTTTATTATTACATATTTATTTATTTGCTATATCTATTTAAGTACTTTTGAATTTACTTCTTTGAATCTTTACATTGAAAAATATTTCAGCACTAATACATTTTATCAAATGTTTATCACAAAGTGTCTTTTAGGATTTTTCGAGTTTGATCCTACAAGAAAATTAAAACTCGTGATTGTTTACTAAAAATATCGGTAAATAAATTGACACGTCCAATAGACCTCTTTTGTGCGAAATTTAAATATTTTGCAGCTAGTGAATGTGCTTTTATGTTTGTTTTCATTCTTCACATCTAAGTGTTGTCAATTGTTCAATGTTTATGCTCCGAGAAATAGAATACTTGTTAATATATATAGACCATCAGAGAATTCATTCTCTCAAGAAGTTCCTTCTCCCCAGAACAATGCTCCAAACGTAGAAGAACAACCAATCAGAATGATAGTTGGTGGTACAAGCACTTTAATAATCGTTGGAGTAACTACTATTGTCGTGAGTTAGACGTTAGTTACGACTGCGACACCAGAAGTGGTGATACCACCACTAACTAGTTTTCTTGTTAATCTTGTGGTTACACAAACTGCTATAGGAGGCAATAGGCCTTCATTACTTCCAAGTTTTAAATTTTTTTTAGTAGTAGGGAGTATCCATATGACATGTCAACTGCAATGATAGTAAGCCTGCATACTAACACTTTGGTGTACACAAATAATTCAATGGATGTTGCCTCTCCTTTCAATCTATACATGGCATCAGGATTTTCTATAAACAACCCTAGTTGAATGGGTTAATCTCAGAGGGGTTGGGATACATCTCTCAGGTTATGCAACCTTTAACTAATAATTCTCTCTTGGTTGTGAGGCAACAGATGGATGCACTATAACTAATAACACTTTTTATAACGAAGTTTTCATCTCGAACATGCTAAAAACCGAAAGTATATGTTATGGAAGCGCCATGTTTGATTTTTTTAATAAAATAAACAACATTTTACCTCGGTGTTATAAAAAATTGAGGTAACACAACTATAAGTGAACACCATTTTGTATACATAAAAAAAAAAATTTATTCTCTCGGTTTTTTGGAGAACCGAGATAATATAGACCACATTTAAATTTTTTTCAATTATTTATCACTTGACGTCTTTTCCAGATTTCATGTTTTTATTTGTTAATTAGTAATTCTCAAAAATATTTATTATTAGTAAACAAGAATATGCAATAATAGAAAAAACAAATATTTCATTGATAATAAGAAAACAAGACAACAGAGAAAATTATTCCACATATTCAAACCTCTCAGTCCACTCAACTTCAACATTGTTCCTAACTATCCCTAACTTAGAGAAAAGTTCAAAAAGAACTCTTCCATATGGTACGAGAAAAGTCATTTCCTCCCGAGAAATGCTAATCATTTACTTCAAGAAGTTGAAAATTGTAAGAGGAAGATTAATTCTAATATTATAGGTGAGGAAGTACAAGAGATGCTTGTCATACAAAGTAAGTGTTTTCAGTTGTTTCTATCTTAGGCGGAGATTTTCCACTAGAAGTTGAAATCAAAATTTTACAATAGAGAGTGGAGAAGCAGGACTGATGGACTTATCTTGGTTGGTATAAATTCGGTGAAAGCGGGTTGAGTAGACATTGCTGAATTGATAATGTTCAACACAACTACATGTCTCTTGACGGTTGATTGTCACAACAATCAGCGATGGAGTAATGAAGAAATGAGAGCCATTGACATATGATTGGATGACTTCATCATGATCAGCTGGCACAACAGAGATATTCATCTAGAACTCTTTAACGAGATTAGTGTATACGGGTGTCATGTAGAATATAAAAGTAATCATTCAACTTTTGTTTGTTAACAACTTTCCTTAGTTCAAAATGACCGAAATCATTGAAATCAATAAACTTTTCATTGATAACAAAAAAAAAATTGCATCCATTTTCAAATTAAAAAGACTTTGAAACAAGGAAATAAGACATAAAGAGTTTGAAATGAGACGTTAAAAATACGAAAAAAACTTTGAAACAAGGTTTAAATACACAAAGAGTTGGAAATGAGACATTTAAATATCTTAAAAGCCTTCTTGGAAATCTAAAAAAGACGTTACAACTTAAATATAGATGATCATTGTTATTTTAGTGATATGATTCTAATGCATACACACCACATTTTAACTAGTTTTTAAAATAATATATTACCTCAGATTTTCTCATAATTGAGGGAAAAAATAAAACACGAACCTCTTTTTTTTATTATACTCTCTCTGTTCTTTTTTAAGTGTCACTTTTGTGGAAAAAAATTATTTTTTATTAATTGTCCATTTCAAAGTTCAAAGTAGTAATGATTATGGTTTTGTCAAAGTTACGCCTAACTATTTATTATAGAGAGAGAAAAAAATACATTGAAATAATTAAAAGTTAAGGGTATTATAGGAAAAGGAAAAATCATAGCATAAAAGTAACAACAATTATAAGCTTTCTTGGTATGTGGAAAAAGTCAAAAAGTGACAAATAAAAAGGAACTGATGGAGTATTTTTTATTTGTAAATTAAATGACCTAACCTGTCGATTTTCATAATAACTGAGAAATAAGATAATCATATTTTACTATAAAAGCATTCCTTAAATAGATTTTACCATAATCATAACTCGTACGCATCATTCTTTGGGATATATGCTTATCATTTCCTTTAAGAAGCATGAAAAATAACTGTATGATGGATTGAAAGTGTAGAAAAACATTTTCCAATGGTGGAAACAAATATTTTCTTTAGAAGTTGGATGCGTTCAATCCATATAACATTTTTCAATATTTGGAATAAATAACTCCCCACAGCTAAGAAGTTGGATTTGTTGCAATATTGTGTTTTAATATTTTGTGTAAATAATGTAACTTCAAAAAAAATTACACCTCAATTATCCTAAAAATTGAGGGGATAATTTAGCGTTAAAAATGAGGATATTTATCGTCGTCCATAATCAAATCCTCATTGTCCAAAATCAAATCCCCGTCATCCATTTCATGACTACCAACGCTCAAGACACTACCATTAGTGATCCGCGTGAAACATAAATAACTTTTATTATAAAAACATTTTGAATATAAAAAATTGATAATGAAACATCATGAAATGCTTGAAACTTCCTACACTTTAAGGTTTGCAAGAGTGTTTTTCATGAAGAGTTCTCTATGATGAATTGCAAGAGTAGAAAATTATTTGAGTTTAAGGTTTGTGTTCTTAAATATTTATTTGAGAAGAAAATCATTTATTTATCTAACCCTTTTTTTAAACCCTTTTTGTTAGAACATAGTTTGATTCTACAACCCTCAATTAGAGTTTTGATGATAATAAAATACAAGAATAAATAAATTGTAAGATTTATATATAAGACATATATGCTACTTAAAATTATGTTGTGTATTTACAGAAGTTCTGATGGAATCAGCATCAGAAGATTAGTATCAACATCAGCATTAGAAGATATGTCAGCATCAGAAGATCAATAACATGTGCTACACGCTGAAACTACCAGATCATACGCTGAAGCTTGATGACCAGAATCTGCGCATAAAACACTCTGACTCTGATCAAGATCCTTACCAAGTCATCAACACTCAGAAGCGTCAGCATCAGTTAAAGCAAAAGAACACTCTGATTACCATAAACAGAGAACACTCTGAAGCGTTACTAAGCATTCAAGACAGATTGATTACCAACGGCTTTATTCAAGACAAGATCTTCTCAAAAAGGAAAGAACATTATTATCATTGAAATGGATTTATGGACAACAACGTATATTTACCTTGGCTATATAAACAAGTCTGTGTGAGAAAAGATGCACGCATATACACGCCTACGAACGCACACGCACTCATACAAATTGCTAAGCTTTCCAACCACGCTCATCCAA